TGTGGGGCGGCCACCCGCGGCTCGGCCCCCCGGAGCTGTGTGCCCGGGGGCTCCCAGCTACCTACATGGGAAGAAAGAGGAGAGATTTGGGGTGCGGTGGCAGGTGATATAGGGGAAGGGGGTCCGCGGGGGGGAGGAGGAGGAGGAGGAGGAAGAAGGTGGCCCACTGTCAGCTGTCTTTATGAAAGGACAGTGCAGACGACCTGCTGAGAGAAAGACAGACAGACGGACGGAGAGAGAGAGAGCAAAGAGATGGGTCAGTCCCTGCTCAGCACGGCTGTGGCGGGGCCGGGGCACCGGGGCACCGGGACGGGAGGACGGTGGGATAGGAGGCAGCACCAACAGCGGGACAGGAGGATGGCAGGACAGAAGGACGGAAAAACAGCAGGACAGAAGGACAGGAGACAGCATTAAGTGGCCAGGTGAGGAGAGAGGCCAGACACGGCCATGGGGCCAACTATCTGCTCAGGCACAGCATGGCCCCACAGCACGGCCCTACAGCATGAACCCACAGCACAACCCACGGCACAACCCACAGCACAGCTCCACGGCTTGGCCACAACACACAGCCCACAGCACGACCCATGGCACAGCCCCACAGCATTGCCCCGAGGCACAACCCCACAGCACAGCCCCACGGCACAGCCCATGGCATGACCCCACAGCAAGAAAATACATCACAGGCCCCCCCACCCCGGCACAGCCCCACGGCACAGCCCCCCCAGCACAGCACCCCAGCACGACCCCCAGCACAGCCCCATGACATGGCGCCACGGCTGGAGGTGCCCACCAGGACAGCCAGCCCCTGCCCTAGAGCCACAAAGGAGACCTGCTGGCATCACCCCAACCCAAAAGCAGGGTGTCCTGCACCGCCACAGGTACCCACCCTAGCAGTGGGGACCCTGGGGTAGGCACACCATGGGGCATGGGGGTGCCCCACACCTGCCCCACTCACTCCTGCCCCTTTTAGCTGACCCCGTGGGAAGTTTCCTTCCCAAACCACACCCTGGACCCCCGGCTGCCACCCCAGACGCACCCTGATCACACTGCCACCCTGGCTGCCAATGTGGTGCCATGACGGGTGGGCGGACGACACCTGACCGAGCAGGGAGCAGGATGCACCCCCCGCTTGCAGAAGACCTCCCCCTGGCATCCAGCCCCAGCCCCTGCCAAGCTGCCCCAGCAGCAGGAGCCACAAGGTGTGGTGGTGGTGGCAGTGATGGTGGCGGCGCGGCAGAGTAGGACAAACCCCTGTCACCATGTGCTCCTGGCACCCACCATCACGGCATTGGAGATGGCAGAGGGGACACCACCTCCCCACACTACAGCCCTGGTGCCCCCAGATCCTGCTGCGACCTGCTGAGCCGTGGGGAGCCTCAGCGGTGCTGCACTCACCTGCTCTGCAGCCCACAGCTCCCCCCAGCCTCTCTGCGCCCCCCCGGTGCCCACAGCCCCCCCCAAGCCTCTCACCTGTCCTGTGGCTGCCCGGCGAGACGGCGTCACTGCTGCCCGATGCCACCCGCTCCTGCTGCTTGAAGAAGTCCCGGGGGTTGTCGGGCCGCTGAGCAATGATGGCAGCAGCCTCCTGCGGGGACGAGGGAGGCTGAGACCCACTGCCCCAGTGGCGTGAGGCTGCAGGACCACCCCCCATGCACCCCCCAGCTGGGTCCCTGTCCAGCTGTGGGCACCACTGGCTGGGAAACAAGGACCGGCACCGGGTATGGCCGCTGCTGCACTCACCTCCACCTCCGACTCCGATTTCCTGAGCTGCTGCCTGTCATCCTCCTCTTGCTGCTCCCCCTGGGAAGAGACGCGGCATCACACCCTGGCCCCGTGCCGCCCTGGGGGCCCGGCTGGGAAAAGCCCTTCTCTGGGGGTGGTGCCAGGCGGCAGCTCCGGCTCCGACCCCGGCCCCATGCCTGCCACGGCACTTACGAAGATGGACTGCTCCTTCAGGCGCTGCCGGGCCTCCTCTGCCTCCATGCTCTGCTGCTTCCGCCTGCGACAGGGACACAGGAGAGGGACTGGGCACCAGCTCCTGCCAGCCCCTGCCCACCAGCCCCTGCCCAGCCCCATCCTCAGCAGGAACAAACACCCATGCGCCCACCCAGCCACTCGTGGTACACGCACAATCATCCTGTGTGTGACCATCCCACATCTCATGGGACACAGCCCCCTGCCCCTGGCCCCCGCCGTGCCTGTGCTCCTCGATCTGCTCCTCCCGCTCCCGGTAGCGCCGCTCCCGCTCCTCCTGCTCCAGCCGCTCCTGCTCCATCCGCTCCTGCTCGAACCGCAGCCGGGCGTCTAGGGCCTTTTTCCGCTCCTCCTCCTTACGTAATTCCTCCTCTTTCTGGTGGAGGGGGGGATGAAGGACAGGGCTGCCCATCAGCCCACCGGCAACTCACCCCACTCCCTGGGGGCCACCGGCTGCCCTCCCCGTACCCCACCTTGGCCTGTTCCCAGAACTGCTCCCGGTTGAGCCGCTTCATCTCCACGGTGGCATCGGTTTTCTGGTAAGTGGTGCCCTGGGACGGAGGAGAGGCGGGGGGGAGCGGAGGGGCTGGGATCAGCGAGGGGGAATAACAGTAAGTGGCACACAGGGTGACGGGCTGCGGCAGACAGGAGGCTTGGGCGGGAGGGATGCCCCACGCCCGCCGCCATCGCCACCATCGCCATCGCTGCCATGGGGACATTACCACGGGCTCAGCATTCTCGTCCTCCCGCAGCCGCAGGCGGTGCAGCACTGGGCTGGAGACGCGGGCCAGCCCATTGGAGAGCCGCTGCCCAATGGCCCCCGGGTCGATGTCCTCCACGCTGCTGGCGTTGACAATGACGTCCACACCCTGAGGGGGGGTGAGCAGCCGTCAGGGACCGGGGTCTGTGCCCCGGCAGCATTGTCCCCCTCCCCAGCATCACCCACCTGGAAGAACTCGGCGATCTTGGCCACGTGGCTGGCACAGGCACACTTGCGGGCATCCGGCACGTCCTCGCCCACCTGCGGCAGCCGGAGAGGGGCTGAGCCAGGGAGGGGTGGCAGGGTGACCCCCACCCCACTGACCACCATAGGGCAGTGGGACCATGGGGCACCCGCATCCTCCCAGCCACCACAGGCTCCTCCCTCGCACCCAGCCATGCCCCTGCCAACACTGCAGCCCCGGGTGGGCACGGCCCCCCCCAGCGTGGTCCCCCACTCACCCAGTTGACGAGGACATATTTGGGGAGCACAGCCTGGGGGTCCTTGACACTGCAGAAGCCATACATCACCTTCTGGATCTCAAAGCGTCCAGACAGCTCCAGCAAACCTCCGCCTGGCACAGCACCATCAGCCCACGTCCACCTGGCACCGGGATGGGTGCTGGGGAAAACGCCGGCAGAGCCGAGCCGGCTGCAGGGACAGAGGACCTTACCTCCCGATGCTGCCAGCTTCAGGTCATCGGAGCCATCCTCATACGTGTAGAGGGCCCTGGGGAGACAGCGTGGGTGAGCCATAGCTGGAGGGAGCGTGGGATGGCCCCCCCTCCACCTCCCCATCCTGCTAACACTGAGGTCAGGGCAGGTCCTGGGGGACCGGCCAGGTGTCCCCAAGCTGCCACACAACCACCCCAACCCCTTGCCCATCGCCACTGCGAGAGGCCAGGCTGCCAGGCAGGGCAGGCAGGACTGCAGGCAGGGCCTATTCCCCTCCCTGCCAGCTGGCAGCTGTGGGGCAGGGTCCCAAGGTTGGGGACAGAGGGGTCACTTGGGCACAGGGACCAGCTGGGCGATGCCACTGACAGACCACAGGCTGCCGTGCCATGCTGCAAGCCACTGCGGCCTCGCAGCTCTTTGCCCGCCCATCCCTGTCCCCCCCCCCCCCCCCCCCCC